TCTTGTGGAATCTTTGACTTTTAGTATCAGGGTAATAATCTTAGAATGTATTAGAAAGTGTTCCCTTTTCTTCTCTTTTTTTTTGGAGGAATTTGAGTAGGATTGATCTTAATTCTTTTTTTAAATGTTTGGTAAAATTCACCAGTGAAACTGGTCCTTCTTTGGACGTTTTTGATTACTGGTCTAATTTCTTGTTGTAGGTCTGTTGAGATTTTCTATTTTTCCTTGAGTCACTTTTGGTAACTAGGAATTTTGCTATTTCATCTAGATTATGTAGTTTGTTTTGGCATACGATTATTTTATAAGCCTTTTAATTTCCATAAGGCTGGTAGTAGTGTCCTTGTTTTCATTTTTTATTTTAATTATTTGCATCTTAGTCACTGTAGCTAAAGGTTTGTGTATTTTGTTGATCTTTTCAGAAAACCTACTTTTGGTTTTGTTGATTCTGTTTTTCTATTCTCTGTGTTGTTTATCTCTGCTCTAATCTGTATTATTTACTTCTGCTAGATTTAGCATTAGTTCTTTTTCTAGTTTCTTAAGGTGTAAAGTTGATTTTTATTTTTTTTATTTCTTTTAATATAAAGCAATTCATCTATCTTTTGAATATGTGGGTATAGTTTTGATGGTTTTGTTAAACCTTGGAAAGCTAATGGAGCTTCTCTGTGACTTTTCCCCTCCTCTGCTTCAGGATGTACTAATCTATTACTTTGGAGGGCTGGGACATTACACATGGGTGGTGGTGGTGGTGGTGGTAGTGCTTCTGCTGCTGCTGCTGCTGCTGAGGTTAAGAGGGAGATTGATTTGTTTGTAATTTTCTTAGTCCTGCTTTTTCTGACTCGTTAGCCTTCCTTTTGGATAAAGGACAAAATGTAGAACTTTGTCACTCTGTCCTGATAAAGTACTGTTTGGCTACCAGGGGAAAGGGAGTTTCAATTCTTTTCCACATCTTTTCCCTTATCACATCTTTTCCCCTCTCCTTATTCACCAAGTTGGTGGGTGCCAGTGAAAACTTATAAGGGCATGCTACATATCATTTCTGGGATTCATCTTCCAGTTCAGACTAACTCATTCAGCATTCGAATTATACTTCTTAACAAAATTTCATGGCATGAGTTCGAGATAATTTCCTGGCTTGGGGATATTTTAAAATTTGTGTTCATTTTATTTAGTTTTAGGGAGGGATATTCTTCTGCAAACCTACACCTATGCCACCATCTTTCCTGGAAGTCTCCTAAGTACTAGAAAGAATTTTTAGGATTAAAAAAGGCACAGTTTATCGAGGAGGGTCATGCTGGCACCATAGGTAAATGCAGTACTCCCCTCCTCCCACAACCACATCAAAATTGCAACTAAATTACATAACAACCATCATTCAAAACTGCCTGAAACTTGGTGACCGGAAGTCCTACAACTAGAGAATTAAAGAGGAAGCCATATTGAGGCTGGTAGGAGTGGCAGAATGGGCAAGTCTGACACCCAGCTGTGGCATTTTTCTTACTCCAGAGGATCTTGGCTGCAGAGGTCCCCTGTAAGGAGCAAGGCATCCCAACCCCACACCAGACCCCTCAGCCCAGGGTTCCAGTGCCAGGAAAAAAAGTCTCCATAACTTCTGGCTGTGAAAAACAGTGGGGCTGGAGTCCCAGGCAGTTTGTTTGTTTGTTTGTTTGTTTGTTTGTTTGTTTGTTTGTTTGAATCCTCACCAGAGGATATTTTTCCTTTTCTGAGAGAGTGGGAGAGAGAGAGAACGAGAAACATCTCACATCAACTGGTTACCTACTGCAAGCTTGCAACCAAGGTACATGCCCTTAGCCAAAATCGAACCGAGGACCCTTCGGTCCATGGGCTGACGCTCTAACCCCTGAGCCAAACTGACTAGAACCCCGGCAGTTCCTCTGGCGCATGGACTTACTTGGACTCCTTCTGAGCTCCAGTCCTGGGGCAGCAGCTTGGAAGGATCCAGGGATATACAGGGAGGAACTAAATTGTCTGGCATCGGGGCAAGAACTGGGGGAGGCAGCTTTCCTCCTCGCCACAGTGCTAATAGGCAATCGCCATATCTGAGTCTTCATCAACCTGGCCCACAGAGTCCCCTTGCTCAGGTGATTCCCTGAGACTCTGCCCCACCCAAGCCGTTTGCAGTGGCTTTTCCATATGAATGGCATGACATGACTCAAGCTTCAGACTTTCCTAAAATCTCTCAAATAAGCAACAGCTGGCTTCAGAGTGCCCCATACCTCTCAATAAGTGGTCCCAGTCCTGTCACTAGCAGCAGCCTGCTTTGGTTCACAGCTTGGCCTCTCCTGGGCACCTCTAAGCCCAACACAAGTAGTAGCCATCTGAAGATCATTCTGTAGCTTGTGACAAGTGGCCCTAGGCAGGCCACAAGCAGTAGCTGACTTTGTACCTTCCAGGAGGCCCCAGAGCTAGTGTACCCAATGGTCAGCTTCAGACCACACTATAATACAACCCTACTACATCCACAAGGGGCAGACTCTGTGAGCACCAGAGTCCCACTGAAGCAAGTCCTACTCCACAGGGGCATCTCCTGTACAATAGCTCTTCTGCTGTAGTCGCAGCTGGTCCACACAACCAACTGGCCTGGGGGTTAATCTCTCCCACTGATGCCAACAGCAGTCAAGGTTCAGCTACAATAGGACAGTACACACAGCCCACCAGCGGTGCACCTAGAGTGCCCAGATCATGTGACTGAGGAAGCTCAGCCACTGGGCCCTACTGAACCCTACAAGGCCACTCTACCAATTCCAGGAGACATAGCAGCTCTACCTGATACATAGAAACAAACACAGGGAAGCAGCCAAAATGTGGAGACAAAGAAATGTGTCGCAAATGAAAGACCAGAAGAAATCTTCAAAAAAAGAACTGAATGAAGTGGAAGCAAGCAAAGTACCAGTACAAAGTTCAAAACAATGGTTATATGGATGCTCAAGGAACTTAGGAATTTCAAGGAACTTAGTGAGCACATCAGTGACATAAAAAAATACCAGTCAGAAATGAAGGATACACTACAGGAAAATGAAGAATTTACAGGGAATCAACAGTAGAGGATGCCGAGAATCAAATCAGCGATTTGGAATCTGAGGAAGTAAAAAACACCCAATCAGAACAGCAAAAAGAAAAAATAATCCAAAAATATGGAGATAATGTAAGGAGCCTCTGGGACAGCTTCAAGCATACCAACATTTGCATCATAGGGGTGCCGGAAGGAGGAGAGAGGGAACAAGAAATTGAAAATCTCTTTGAAAAAATAATGACAGAAAACTTCCCTTACCTGGTGAAAGAAGTAGACATACAAGTCCAGGAAGCACAGAGAGTCCCAAACAAGATGAACCCAAAGAGGCCCACACCAAGACACATCATAATTAAAATGCCAAAGGTTTAAGGACAAAGAGAGAATCTTAAAAGCAACAAGAGAAAAGCAGTTAGTTACCTACAAGGGATCCACCTATACACTTGTCAGCTGATTTCTCAATAGAAACTTTTCAGGCCAGGAGAGAGTGGCAAGAAATATCCCAAGTGATTAAAAGCAAGGACCTACAACCAAGATTATACAGTAAAGCTGTCATTTAGAATTGAAGGTCAGATAAAGAGCTTCACAGACAAGAAAAGGCTAAAGGAGATCACCACCACCAAACCAGTATTAAGTGAAATGTTAAAGGGTCTTCTTTAAGTAGAAGAAGGGCGGGGGGAGATAAAAATATAAACAATAAAATGACAATAAATACATAATCTATTAACAATTGAATCTAAAAATCAAAATAAATGAACAAGGAATCTAATGAACAAAACAAACTGATGAGTAAAATAGAACCAGAGCCATGGAAACATGAAACAGACTGATGAATCTCGGGATGGGGTGGGGGAGGTTAACCAGAAAAGTATATGCGTATATGTATTACCCGTAGACACAGACAATAGGGTGGTGAAGGCCTGGGGCAGGGAGGGATTGGGTGGAGTGGGGGGAAGGAAGAGAATCTGTAATACTCTCAACAATAAAGATTTTTTTGAAAAATAAAAAAGGCACTATTTAAACTGAAATAACATTCATCTTCAGCCTAGCTTTGGATCAGCTCTGTGGGAATATGCATACATTCAAAACTTTGCACAATGTAGAGTTTAATTCCTTTAGGATGCTCTTTAAGTGGGTAATGTGTGATCTTTCAAACTTTCTTATTTGTAACTTCTATATGGATGCAGACATTTTCAGAAGTCTCCTAAGACAGTGAACATGAAACTTGAATATTCATAAGAAACTCTGGAGGAATTGGTTTAAAATGCAGATTTGTGGGCCCTCTCCCTTGAAATCTTTTTAGCTTACCTTGATGCAAGCAGTCCACATTTTAACTTTGAGTAATGCTGTCTTAAGTGTTAAAATAATCAGGTTTAATTTTGAAGTAGAGAATTAAGGTAACCTGGGCTGTCCATTGGGCTAAGTAGCTAATACCTGCTTGGCTGGGCTTCTAGGTGACCTACTTATCTCACTAAGATAAATGTTCCCTTCATTGTCTTCTCTTAATTCCAAAATTCAGTTCTCCAACCTTTGGGATTTTGTGGACTGGGTAAATCTTCACGCACACACACCCCCCCCCGTACACACACACATGCACACACAGGAAATATCACATAAGCTTCCGATTTTTTATTTTGCTGAATGAGGACATTAAAAATAAACCAACAGTGAAAGAAAGGACATTATACACTTCCTCTCACCACAAGTACCAAAGATAAAACAAATAAAAATCTAGGAAGAACCAAACCTTGTAATACAGTCGTTTAAATTGAATACACTTAGCTCTAGGCAAAACCCACTTTATTTTCCTCTTTTAAAAAAATTATTTAGCTATAGTTTAATGAATACTTTCTCGTGGGTGACATTTAAGACCTGCTGCTTAGTACTTGGAACTTAGTGCTTGCCCTTATAAGAGGCACTACCTGAATATGATGAGCAGGCACTTACCTCATATCCTCTGTTTTCTTACCAGTTCGGTCCTTTGGTACAGAAGACAGACCAACAGATCGTCCAATACCACCTCGAGATGAAGTTTTTGAATACATTATATTCCGTGGAAGTGATATTAAAGACCTCACTGTTTGTGAGCCACCAAAACCACAATGTTCTTTGCCTCAGGACCCAGCTATCGTTCAGGTAACTGATGATAATTTTGTCTTGGAGTTGAAGTAAACTTCATGCGTATGACTAGCCTTAGCATTTGCCCCTCTTGGGTTTTCAGGGTTTTTTGTTTGTTTTTAATTTTCCCAATTGAATGACCGACCATATAGCTTACCATTTTCTAGTTCCCTAAATATTTAAAATACCTGGATACTGTTTTCATCTAAGTTTTCCTCTCGAGATCATAAGGGACTAAATAAAGGAAGAAAAAGCTGGGGAATTTATTTATTTATTTAAAATATATCTTTATTGATTTCAGAGAGAGGAAGGAGGAGAGAGGTAGAAACATCAGTGATGAGAGAGTCATTGATTGGCTGCCTCCTGCACATCCCCAACTGGGGATCGAGCCCACAACCCGGGCATGTGCCCTGACCGGGAATCGAACTGCAATCTCCTGGATCCTAGGTCAATGTTCAACGGTTAAGCCACACCGGCCGGGCTGGAGAATTTATTTTTATCATAAAATATTTTCTAATTTCAACAACAGATAAAATGGCTAACATTCATTGAGGTCTAATTATATGGGAAGCACTATTCAAACTACTGCACATAAAAGTCAGATCTTTATACCACCCTCTGAGCTTGTTATTATAATTTCAGTTTTTACAAGTGAGATTGGGTTAGAACCACAATTTGAACAAACCTGGGCAGTCTGGTTCTAGAATCCAGGATCTGTGCCACTATATTAATTCTTATGTGGTTCATATTACAAACCAAGATGGTGATGGCTACTCTTAGATAATATTAGGTTTAAGGTGGGGATGGGTGTGTAAAAGCACATTATATGTTATATAATATACATTCAGCATTATATAAGATAGCCAAACATAGCCCTGGCCAGGTGGCTCGGTCAATTGGAGCATCATCCCATGCACCAAAAGGTCCTGGGTTTGATTTCCGGTCAGGGCATGTACAAAAGGCAACCAATCAATGTTTCTCGCTCACATCTATGTTTCTGGCTCTCCCTCTCTCTAAAATTAATCAAAAACATATCCTCAGGTGAGGATTTTTTTAAAAAGCCGAACATAAAAAATTTTTAACACATGTTCAGTTCCCTAAATAAGGTATTAAAAAAGAAGACTAAGTATTCTAAGAGTTTAAAAAAAAAAAAAAAAAAAAGTGTGTTTTATTAGAAACAGAAGCACATGATATCTAAAAGATTTTAAATTATGGATTAAAAAGAACGTCCATTACAGTACCTGTTGACATTTTAACTGGAAGCATATAGAAACTGTCTGTAAGCTATAACAGCAGAGGAAATAGGTTCATATAAGAGCATTTTTACTTGAGGAGAGCATAGCTGATTAAAAGCTCATGGCCCCCTTAGTTTTCCTCCTGAATTTATTTCCTTCTTAACCTTTTTTTTTTTTTTTTTAATATATCTTTATTGATTTCAGAGAGAGGAAAGGGGAGGGGGAGAGAGAGAGATAGAAACATCAATGATGAGAGAGTCACTGATCGGCCGCCTCCTGCACACCCCCAACTGGGGATCGAGCCCGCAACCCCTGGCATGTGCCCTGACTCAAACCCCAATCGCCTGGATCCTAGGTCGACACTAAACTGCTGAGCCACTCCCGGCTGGGCCTTCTTAACCTTTTTTATTGTTAGAAGTCTTTTGTTTGGTCATTTGCACTAAAATATGCTTTATTCATTTATCAATATAATATTTTTAAATTAACTTTCCCTTTTTGTGCTGTGATAAAATCTTAGTTTTCCACAAAACAGATTTTTAAAATGTATATTATCTTACACAGCATTTGTCTTCTAGCTATTAAAAGAAAATATCTCATGGACTCTTCTAATATAAAATTAAAGCAGAAAAAATAACTTGATTCTTGTAACATAAACTGGAGAAATTCTTTACTGTCGTCTATCCTCTCCTCTTCCTTTTGAGGAAGTAAGTCTGAAGGAATCCTGAGAAAATCTGAACTTCTTAAATGGAAGGAGAAAAGACACATTCTAATAGAAATAGCTGCCTACACTAGCAATTTTCAACCAGTGTGCTGCAAGAATTGTTAAAACTTGGAATACCTGACTATTTAGTCAGGGACACTGACCTCTTTTCCCTTAGATTGTCAAATAAAAAAATGAGGATAGCCAATATAACAATAGCTGTTTGGTGTGATTGAATGAAAGTTATGTCTTTGTTGTTGTTGGGCAAAAAAATACATTTTTTTGGTATGCTACAGAATTTTAATAATTAGTTTATGTGTGCCATGAGATAAAAAAGGTTGAAAATCACTGGCTTACATCGAAGAGTAGTGGTATTGCCATATATATATATAAATAAAATCTGGGTAATTCTCCAGGGAACCAGTTATTTAAGTAATCAGCCTTATGGAATGAGAAAAATCAAGAGAACACAAATCAAAATGGTATTGAATAACTTCTAACCACCATAAATTTTGACTTTTGATCTTTTAATTCATTCTTTTAGTAATATTTATTGAGCACCCTCCATGTGCCTGGTACTAGCAGTGAACACACAGACAAGATCCTGCCATCAGTGAGCTTATATGCCAGTAGTTGTTAGTACAATTCATATTTGTGTTATGAAATGTTTTATATTAAGATAAATGAATATATAAAAATTTGTGTATATACGTATTAAATTGTGTTTCAGGTTTAGTAAGACAAGCTTTTTAACTTTTTTTCTTTAATGATAACTGCATTTAAAAACGTAAATTTTTGTGTGGGATAGTTTGTTTTTGCATCTCTTTCCTGTAAATTCAATAGTATACCTCACATGATAGAAAATAAGAGTAAAATCAAAAGTGAATTGTCTTTTTTGTCAGCACCAGATTTAAAACTCAGTATAACCAAGTAAGATTTTTCTTATACTTTTTTCTTTAACAAAATTACTTTACTTGATATTCAAGTAACTTCAGTTCTTTCCTAAATCTGCTATAAAACCCTTTATTCATAAGAGGAGTTTATTGTAGGAAAAAAGTATTTATAAATCATATTGAGTATAAAATTGGTACATGTGGATGACCTTTGAACAACTCAGAACTTGGGGGTGCTAACCCTCACAGTAAAAAATCCACATGTAATTTTTTTTTTAACTCCTGCTCTATAAAAAAACACTTCTTTTTTTCTGTTTCTTGTTTTTTGTTTTGTTTTTTTAATCCTCACCAGAGGATTTTTTTTTTTTAATTGATTTTAGAGAAAGGAAGAGAGTGAGAAACATTGATGTGAGAGTGAAACATCGATCAGTTGCCTCCCATATGCGCCCCACTGGGAATCGAATCCACAACCTTTCAGTGTACAGGAGGACGCTCCAGCCAACCGAGCCACCCAGCCAGGGCCACATGTAACTTTTTTT